GTACGAATACTAATTGCGTTATTACAAGCACAGCATACATAAAATGCCAGTAGTCATATTTTGCAGGTGTGGTAGGCAAAAACACTTATTGTTTATTGTTTCGTATAAAGCGATGTCCAAATATGATAAATGGTACTGTTAAGACCACTCCATTAAATGTGTCTAAACAATGCTGCCATGACAACTAAGTGGCATTCATGTCGGATATATATTGTATTTCATTTTATGTTTTTCTGTTTCTACGTGTTGCGACTTCATTAGTACTGACAAAGCCTTTAAATCTCCCACCCACGGCTGCAACACAAGCCCTGCAACAATAAGATTACGTATCTACGAATACAATGTATGGTATGAACACTTACTTACTTTGTTACACCCAGGATATAGCGGTAATTGATTTGCTGCGGCTGTCACAAAAATAGGAATTATAAGTTCTTAAACGGTGGTCGTCGTGTCATGCATACATCATATTTGTATCGATAAACGTTATATCGGCAACCCATTGCGTTTTACTGACATTTCAATGTGGAGGTAGATACGCGTGTGAGTGTTGTTTTGGGTGAAATAGACACAGGTCAGGGAATAAACAACATATCGTAATTTACATACAAGCACTTGGGCGCTACTAGGACTTTAGAGTTGCATGACACGATTGGTAGAAATAATCGTTCATTTGCATAAATTAATATTCATGAGCAATGAAAAATGCTTTTCGATAGCATATATGATAGTTTTAAATTGACTGATTCTATCGTTACGAGCTGAAAAATAATCGAAAAACTAATGTAAAGACGTTTTTTGATACACGTTTATGATCAGACTCCAGCAAACTGTTGAAATTAACCACAGGTTTATTCTTTACCCTGATCATAGCAAATTACGAAAGTCATAGAGAATACAGATACACGTTTATATTTCACTCTAGTACTATTGCTCAAAATTGCTCAAAATGTTTTCAATGGCTTTTATCAGTGACAAGTTACCTCATATGCATTTCGAGAAATCACAGTGTGTGTGCATGAGCAGTTTGGAATAGAACAATTTCGAACGCACTAAAATCATGCGTAGAACTCGATCTCCAGCAAGAAATTGTGGCGTCAAACTGGCTTACGGTTGAGTTGCTTTGCAATAGACATAATTTTAGAGCCTGTATTTTTCTATGAAATGTTTCTAAGTTTTGTTGAGGATTATTCTATAAAGAAATCGCTGAAATTATTTCATCTGTTCGTAAAAGGGCGTTATTTATTTGACGATGGGCTTTGAACGACTGACATCGAAACGTTTCATTCAGATCGGATGACGCCCTCTCGTGCCAATCCCCCTTCGGTCGCTACATTATTTTTTGTCTACTCTTATTTGTATATCACCAGGAGTTGTTTCGTCGCAAGTATGTGCATTGCATTGTCGTAAATATAATGTTATCACCAATCTAAATTTACGGGATCCATATCTGGCACACTGTCCGATACACAGTGGGCTATTTCAGAATACTCATCGTGGTCATATATGATAATACTAATTAGGGAACCAAGTAGAACCTATTTTTTTATTAAATCCTGTTCACTACATAGTGTTTGTGTGCATCACTTCACAGGACTAGTACACACATAGTGTATAAGAGTCGCACAGATTCTGATGAAATTTAAACATAATATGGAATCTTGGAATCTAATTGTAGATGACGTAAAACGATGTTTTTA